TGCTGATAGTAGGCAGGCCGGTGATCCGTGTCTCTGACCTGACCTGAACTGCAGGTAGCAGGCGGACCGTGTTTTGTGTCTCTGACCTGACCTGACCTGTTGGTAACCGGCGGGCCGGTGTTCCGTGTCCAAGACCTGACCTGTCGGCAGAAGGCGGGCCGGTGCTCCTTGTCCTTGACCTGACCTGTCGGTGGCCGGTGGGCCAATGTGTTCCGTGTCCCTGACCTGACCTGTCGGTGGCGGGTGCGCCAGTGTTCCGTGTCCTTGACCTGACCTGTCGGTAGTAGGCGGGCCGGTGTTCCGTGTCCTTGACCTGACCTGTCGGTGGCCGGTGTTCCGTGTCCTTGACCTGACCTGTCGGTGGCCGGTGTTCCGTGTCCTTGACCTGACCTGTCGGTAGTAGGCCGGCCGGTGCTCCGTGTCCTTGACCTGACCTGTCGGTAGTAGGCCGGCCGGTGCTCCGTGTCCTTCAGCATCTCGAGCACCAGTGGCGGCAGCTGAATGTCGGCCGAGCCGCCGCCCTCTGCGCCGGCCGCGTCGAACACGTACAGCACCCACTCGGTCTCCTCCTGTGTGGACGGCCGAGGGGGGGGGGGCGTAGAGCTCACGCACTTTCAGGCGCTGACTTAGGGAACCGCCATCGCGATTGACTACTGAGCGAAACGTTCTAAAACATTCAAGGTTATAATCCGCAAAGTGTCGCAGGAATTTTCCAATGCTCCAAACTTTCCAAAATATCACGAAGGAACTTTCAACTTTTAAAACTTTCCTTGAAACCCCATTGGTTAGCACCTCTAGCATGTGCTACATGGTTTCACGACTTCAAGGTACACATACAATATCGTGAACATAACTCATTGCGGAAGATCTGCATGCCAATCTTCGGTCTCAGTGCGAGCTAGTGCAGCCAGCGGCCTAGACAATGAACCCATCTCCCGTCTTCCCTTCCCACGTGGGCATGCCGATCTTTGATCTCAGTGCGAGCTAGTGCAGCCAGCGGCCTGGGCACTAAACACATCTCCCCCTCCTCCTTCCCACGTGAGCATGCCAATCTTTTCGCGCCACAGCATCACATCGTGCTACGGACAGTTCAGACACGCACCGTACACACACACGACTCGGGCCACCCGCTGCGAGTCTGCCGCTGTCGGCAGAAGACAGGCAGGGGTCACCGACCTGCGGCGGCGCCCAGCACTGGAGCGCCGACTGGGCGGGGCTGGTGCCGGGTCGGTCACCCCTGGGCAGGCGCAGGTCTTGGCGGGTCGGCTCGAGGCCTGTGCTGAGCTTTACAAATGCCTGCCGTGGAGGGGGGGGGGGGCGGAGGGGTCAGTGGGGTCAGCTGGCACGGCGCCACGTTCTTGACCCCGCCACGGTCATTAGGGTCAGAATGTGCGGACGCCGCGCACGTCAGCATGGTGGGGTTAGCTGGGTCAACACGCACGGGGACCGCATTCGTGACCCCGTCTGGGTCAATAAAGCGGTCAAGGTCATCACGACCAGCAATCTGAGCCTGGAGTTACGGTCCGGTCTCCAGGGCCCAGGCTATGTAGGGGGCAGGGACATCTGGTCCAATCGTCATTCTCATGCTCAGCTTCTCTCCTTGTTGGTTCACGGCCACTGTTTGTGCTCCCGTACATATGCAAGACGTTACAGTGCATCACCACATATGATCAGGTACTGAGTCCCAGAAGGCTTACAAGGTACACCACCTACATTGTACGGTCCACAAACCCCCATCACGCTGACCAATCCACGAGGTTTCTCACTAGATTGTAAGGTCCACAAACCCCCAATCACGCCGACCAATCCACGAGGTTTCTCACTAGATTGTAAGGTCCACAAACCCCCATCACGCCGACCAATCCACGAGGTTTCTCACCAGCAACGCACACCATACAGTCGGCCCGTAATGCCCAGCTGGCGTGCGACCAAACCCCGTGCCTCGCACATCCCAGGAGTTTGGTCCGCTGAGGAGCTGTGACCAATCCGCCTGTCAGCGCTGCTGAATTCACAGGTTGAAGGGAGGAAAAGGAGGGGGAGGGGGGGGGGGAGGGGCATGACGCAGAACAAGGGCCCACGTGGTGTCCACGCTATTTAGCATGACTCACGCATGTACCTAGCAGATTATCGGGAGTTTGTGGCCACCACACCCAATTTGTTTTTTGCAAGAGGTTGCAGTGTAGCACCCTAATTACGGGTCTAAGTCTGGTGCCTGGTAAAAGATAAGCTGGGATCATTTTGTGTTATCCGTGCTGGCATTCAACACATGACAACAACGAAGTCCAATGAGTCATATATATGAGCACAGATATACCCGACAAACACGAGAATCCGTGCAAACAGCAACGCCCTGCCTCTCATCCTCCCGCCGTCCCCTTCCACTCCGCCTCTCCACCACGACTACCCAGTCAGCCAACTCCCGCACACACAGTCGGTCCCGGACCCCCCCCCCCCAGCGCCTCCCCCTCCCAGCACCCTCCCCAGCGCCCCCCCCCATCCCAGTCACTCTCTCCCCAGCGCCTCCCATCCCAGTCACTCTCTCCCCAGCGCCTCCACATCCAGTCACTCTCTCCCCAGCGCCTCCCATCCCAGTCACTCTCTCCCCAGCGCCTCCACATCCCAGTCACTCTCTCCCCAGCGCCTCCCCCCCAGTCACTCTCTCCCCAGCGCCTCCCATCCCAGTCACTCTCTCCCCAGCGCCTCCACATCCCAGACACTCTCTCCCCAGCGCCTCTCCCCCCATCCTCTCTCCCCAGCGCCTCCCCATCCCCATCCTCCTCCCCAGCGCCTCCCCTCCAGTCACTCAGTAGGCTTCCACCCAGCGCCTCCCCCTTCCCCGAGCCTTTAGCAGGCTTTTCCCCCACCAACCGCCTCCCACCTGCACGTCCCGCATCGTCGTCGTCTGCTGGTCGATCTCTAGGTGCAGCAGCTGGCAGCCGGCCACGCCGAACACGGTCACCACCTTGCGCTGCAGCAGCTGCTGCAGCTGGTCGAACACCACCACGTGCGGCGAGTCGGCGGAGAGGCGGCCGCGCCGCGCGGCTCCCAGTCCACAGGCGCCGCAGCCACGGCTCCAGCTGCTGCCGCAGCGGCCCTGTCCCGGGGCCAGCGCCGGCCGAGATCAGTCGGCAGCGGAGACGGGGCCGACGGCGGGTCCGTGAGCTGATGGTCGCTGGTGAACGCCAGGCGGCTAAGGGCTGACCGACGGCCAGCTTAGGCGGTTAACAACCGGCCCGTGGGCGCGTTAGTTATACATAATAGAACACACACACCACACACACCACCCGCACACGCGCACGCACACGCACCACACACACGCACGCACACACGCACACACACACACGCACACGCACACGCGCCTCACACGCACACGCGCACGCACACACACACACACACACACACACCACAAAATATATATATATATATATATATATAATATTATATATATATATATATATATATATATACATCTCTCTCCCTCTCTCTCTCTCTCTCTCTCTCCTCTCCCTCCTCTCTCTCTCTTCCGCTCTCTCTCTCTCTCTCTCTCTCTCTCTCTCTCTCGCTGCCAATGGCAAGTCCCCAGATTGCGGCCATCGTATGCGTGGTCTGCCAGCGGGCCACACCGCAAGCAAGGACTGTTCTTTTGCGTTGATCGGGGTGACGAGCTGCGTCCCCTTCCTGAACCGGCGTTTCGGCCGGCTCCTGGCTGATACTGCAGCTCTCCCCTCCCCCTCCCCGTGGGAGAAACGGGACGCCGCGGGGACTCGAGATGAGCCCGAGAGAGGGAACAGACCAGATGGTGAGCTCCGCCCATGCCGGCCCCCTTCACCCACGCTCCACTCCACGCTGGACGTCACCGACCTGCTCGCCTCGCCGCGTCGACGGCGACTGACCTGGAGATATGGGTACAGCCGACGATCTCCGAGCGAACAACGATCGTTGCCGTCCTCCAACTCCTCCGCGCAGATGTCGTCGGGGGGCCCATTCTGCGACACGTGCTGCATCCTGGCGACAGACGGGCAAAGTGCAGGTGCGTCAGGTCACCGTACATGGCACTGTTCGCAAGCGTGGCCAATTCCATGACACACCGCGACAAGAAAACCCACAAGAAACACACTAAGGGCGAAAAAGTGTGCGGTTGCGGGCGTGCCACGCCCTACCCTGGCCGCGGGGCCGTTCGTGTACAACATAACCATGTAAGGCACACTTCGGAAAACGAATCCATCCAAAACGCACGTTGCCACCTTTTTCCATCCGCATACCACACCATCCACAACCGCATACCACACCATCCACATACCGCATACCACACCTCTCCCCATCCCCAGCGCCGCACAACGCCAGCAGGCATAAAAGCTCGGCACCGAGCGCAGCCAGGGGAACGTGCGTACCGCCACAAGCCCGCAGACCTCTCAGCGCGGCGGCGCTTCTCCACCCCAGGCGCCCCTCCTCCCCCAGCACGTCGCGGACGTCCCCCGCCACGGACTGCGCTTACCACTTGGCTGGCACCATGTTGGGTAAGGAAGGGGCGGACACCAGTGACCACCTCATGGCCACCAGACCCAGGCTTCCAGTAGTCGGCCGTGCAGGTGGTAGCCTGCCGAGGTCCCCGTCGCGTGACCTCGGCGGGGTCACGGTCGCCGGTGACGGGTGCACAGGGCGGGACCGGAAGGGACGGGAGGTGACGTGGGAGCTGGCAGGGGAGACTGGATGAACGTGGCGTCGCGACGAGGCATGATTGTGTGCTGGTGATTGATAGCGATAGTTGTGGGATCTGGATAGTGATAGTGACAGTAATAGTGATAAAGTGAGAGAATGATAGTCGTGTAGCGAGGCGTGGCCTATGGCAGCAACAGTAAATATGCACAATTTGCTAGGTCCCGTGAGCGATGCAGGGAAATTATAAGAGTAGAATGTTATGGGCAATGCATATATCAGGGCTGGGAGAATTCTAAGAGTGCTTTAGGGGTAATGACACACAATGCAGAAAGTGCGTAATAACATAAACCATACAGGTGGGAAGTAACAACAGACAATGGAAGGGGGGGGGGGAGGACACAACAGACAATGAATGCACATTACAAAATGAGGCACAAAGGAGCTTCTGAGCAAGTATCTTACCACACACTCATGGCATTGCTGCTGGAGGGAAACCCAACACACCCATGGCATTGTTGTTGGAGGGGAATGCAACGACAAACATTCCCCGTTCAAATCCGCCACAGGCAGTAGCTCGCTCGCTCCACGATATCTGAAGAGCCCAGCGATCGTCACGCCTTCAGCACGCGATCATCACGCCTTCAGCACGCGATCGTCACGCCTTCAGCACGCGATCACCATTGCCTTCGGCACACGATCGTCACGCCTTCAGCACGCGATCACCATGCCTTCAGCATGCGATCGTCACGCCTTCAGCACGCGATCGTCACCCTTCAGCACGCGATCGCCGCACGCGCCGGCCTCTGACTTGTTGGTGAGGAAGAGCTCCGGCGCCAGGTACTGCAGCGTGCCGACGAACGAGGTGCACAACGCTGGACTGGTCCAGCTCCTTGGCGTACCCCAGGTCGATCAGCTTGTACACGTTCTGGAGAAGGGGGGGGGGGGTGAGTCTCCTGCGAGCACGCCTGGGGGGGGGGGGGGGGTTATCGCGCTTACAAGCCTCCTTGCCAGCTCATTTTAAGGGTACGCTTGTACTGCGGCTAGGGTAGCCGTACTTTCTTGGTATACACGAGGGCCTGGCATGGCTAGGTTTCATGGCCTTGTTGTTATCCCTAAAAAAGCATCGGTACTGCAACTGTGCGCCGTGAACATACTGTCTTCACACAGCGTCCTTCGGTGCGTTATCGGGTGGTGTCAGAGTCCCGATGGTACACCACATGCACCGTTATGTAGCGCCCAGGCCCGTGCATACATTCCGCGGCTGCATAATGTAAAACATCGCCCCCCACATTCCTGCACATCACACGGCGCCGTTTGTGGGCCGCGCGACAGTCGACCGTAACGGGGAGGCCGGCCCCAGCATACCGACCTCTCGCGACGGCTCGCCAACCGCAGCGGTGGGAAGGAGGGATGGGCGGAGTGGATCCCCGCCGTGGAAAGGTGACCGGATGGGCGGGGCGGACCCCAGCGGTAGAGGTGACTAGGATGAGTGAGGTAGACCCCCACAGATGGAGAGGTGACTGGATGGGCGGGGTGGACCCCAGCGGTAGAGGTGACCGGATGAGTGAGGTGGACCCCCAAGGTGGAGAGGTGACTGGATGGATAGAGTGGACCCCAGCGGTGGAGACGTGACCAGATGGACGGGGTGGACCCCTCCTCCGCCCCGACAAGACCTAAGCACGCGGGATGCGGCCCGGCTGTGGACGCGACCAGCGCGCGAAGCCAGACAGAGACGTGGACAGCGTCACGCACACCAGCGCAGACACCTCTCAAAAATGACACCACGGCCGAGGCAAGCCGTGGCCGGCGAAAACTGCCCGCGGCGGGACTCGAACCCACGCACCCGTCCGTCGACCTCCTGCAGCACCACGTTTTCGGGCTTGAGGTCGCGGTGGATGATGCGCAGGCCGTGGAGGTAGCCGACGGCGTCCGTGATGTCACTCAGAAACCGGCGCACGGCCAGCTCCGGCAGGCCGCAGCAGTTCTCCGCGCTCAGGAGAACCTGTGACGTCATATTGACGTCATTCGAGGCACGCTCCGGCAGGCCGCAGAAGCTCACGGCTTAGCTAGCACATGTCGGCTGTCACGCCATAGTGAGGCCATCCACAACACACGAGCACAAGGCCAGCTCAAACCCAGACCGCAGCAACCCTCGGCGTTGGAGCGAGACTCGATGCCGACCTCCGGGGCAAATCGACGCAACAGTTCGCAGGTCACATGAACGAGACAGTCCGAACTAGAAAGTCGCCTTCCAGAACCTCACGCTGTGCACCAAGAGCGGAAGACAGTGTACTCGACCCTCCGCCGCCCGCACAACCCCCCCGCCCCCCCGACGGGCGGCGGCCACTGGGCGCCGGCCGGCCGGCCCGGCACGCACCCTGCGTAGATCGCCGCCCACGCAGTACTCCATGCAGAGCCGGGGCAGGGCGGTCGGGCCCACGCGGAAGGCGGCCGGCAGGGGCATGCAGCTGACGATACCCCTGCCGAGCCAGGTACGACGTCACAGAGCCGGTGCCGTCACCACATGTGACGTCACACTTCCCGGAAATCAGTCGGAAGCACTGCGCGGACGTCTTGACGCACGCACAACGGCTCTACTACATTCACGGCCATGGGATGAAGGCGTGCATATGGGCTAGTGAAGAAGCACTCACAACGGCATGACAACAACCTGAAAACGCCTAAACAGATGAGAGGAACATACGCGTGGGACAGGGCACCCAATACGTTCACACAACCAGTATCGTCATGACTTCTCAAAGCACGTCTGTGCAGGGTAGCGCTCCGCGGTGCACCCTGCCACCTCCCCTCCCCCCTCTCACCTGTGGTCCAGCTTCAGCATGATCTCCACCTCCTTCTGCCATCGCTCGCGCACTTTGGGCACCAGCAGGGCCTCCGTGCCCGACCCGGGCTCGCCCCAGCGGCACTGCTTGATCGCTGCCGGCCGACGGTGGCCGCATCAGCGATCAGGAGCGGCCACAGGCGGAGGTCGCGGGTTCAAATCCCGCGAGGCGCCATCGCGACCGCACAAACGCGCACGGTATAACAGGTGAGTGATGAGCAGAGCTGCGTGATTCCGAAAGCGGGCGATCCACGGAAACGCGGAGAAATATACAAGTGACCAATACCAATACAGCAGAATCACAGGTCGTCACCACTATCTCTGTGACGCTGCCGGCTGTCGGGGGCGCGGTATAGGCAATACGTCCCAGGGCCCACTGAAGAAACCCATCACACAGGGCGACAAAACACGACCGGAGCAGGATAATCGCAAGCAAAATGACATGCATCAGCTGCAATAGAGGAATGCCAACGGCGCTTAAAAGCGCGCCCCATACTCTGCGGGTGATACAGCAAAGGGCGACCCGGCACGGGGTGGGACACGACCCATCACGCTGGGGGATGGGGCGCTGGCTCGGTGCGCGGACCTATCTTGTCGCCCGTGTCGGCGTTGGTCCACAGAACGACGGTGCCGAAACCCCCGGAGCCGATGTCACGCACCCGCGTCCAGTCGCCGACCCGCTCCGGCATCCTGCCGACACCAGGTCAGGTCAGGACAGGTCAGGCCAGAATGCCACATCAGGTCAGGGTGCCGCGTCTGGTCAGGATGCCACGTCAGGTCGGGATGCACTGCCAGGTTAAGATGCCAGGCCAGGCCATTTCATAACACCAGGTCTGGTCACGTCACGATTTCAGGTCACCAGGTCAGGTCAGGTCAGGTCAGGTCTCAATTGGAAATGTTAGATCAGATAACATTGGCTGAACTCATGATTAAAGCATATCAATTATCATATTTCATCACAAAGAGTAGTGTCTGGTCGAGTCAAGTGAAAGGGAGTGCTCCACATTTGTATGAGGTTTTGTGCTGAAACAGCCATCTTGAAGATAACTCAGTGCAGTCCACCATTTTTGCCACCTTGGCCCTTCTACTTTCTGAGCTACATGTCCATGGAGGTATGCAGACTATTTCTGAAGACCATTTTAATGTCACCCAAGCATCCCAGATTCTGCACTTCAAATCCTGCCATTCCGTTGGCCATGCCGTGATCAAGACCAAGAAAACAGAATTGTCTAGTCATTCATATTGGGCGTTGGCGAGGCGCTTTCCAGATATAACGTCGGTCAACTGGCTCCCAATCAATGTTGTGCAAGGTATGACAACATAGTCAAGCAATGACATACTGAGGAGCATGTCAACTTAACAGAGAACTTGTGTTGTCTAGAGCAGCTTTTGCACTGAAAAGTTCCCTTTAACATCCTGGAACATTCCCTTTAAGCATCATCAGCTCTGGGCAATCCTCCAGATTAATGGTTCACATGCTACATCATGGAGAAGACTCTGGAACAAGCCAGTATGATGAACTCAGACATTCTGGCCATTGACCCTCTTCAGCACTCCTCATGGAAGCCACTGGGAACAGCACCTAACAGTCCACACCAGTCCACAGTCAACAGTCCACACAACAGGCAAATGCTGGGAGATGCACTGGAGAAGTGAGGGGGGCCTGTGGCTGGAATATCCGCAAGCAGTGCCCCAGCTCTTTTCACAGCTATGACCACCTTGTGGCAAACAGAACACCAGTGCCAAAGATCCATGAGGATGCTGTGCCATTATTCAGCAAGCACCTGAGAATACCAGCAGCAAGTCTGGACAAGGACACACATCAGGTGAGTGGGTCAGCTGATGCCACTGTCCAGCCACTGGGTCAGGGGAGGTCACTGTCAGGTCACTGGGTCAGAGGATGTCACTGCCAGGTCACTAGGTCAGGGGAGGTCACTGCCAGGTCACTGTATCAGGAGATGTTACTGTCAGGTCACTGGGTCAGAGGATGTCACTGCCAGGTCACTACATCAGGGGAGGTCACTGCCAGGTCACTGTATCAGGAGATGTTACTGTCAGGTCACTGGGTCAGAGGATGTCACTGCCAGGTCACTGGATCAGGCAATGTTACTGTCAGGTCACTGGGTCAGAAGATGTCACTGCCAGGTCACTTAGTCAGGGGATGTCACTATCAGGTCACTGGGTCAGAGGATTTCACTGCCATGTCACTGTATCAGGGGATGTTGCTGTCAGGTCACTGGGTCAGAGGATGTCACTGCCAGGCCACTTAGGGAATGTCACTATCAGGTCACTGGGTCAGAGGATTTCACTGCCATGTCACTGTGTCAGGGGAGGTCACTGTCAGGTCACTGGGTCAAAGGATGTTACTACTGCCAGGTCACTGTATCAGAGGCTGTCACTATCAGGCCACTGGGTCAGAGGATGTCACTGCCAAGTCACTGTATCAGGGGATATTACTGTCAGGTCACTGTATCAGAGGATGTTACTGCCAGGTCACTGTATCAGAGGATGTCACTATCAGGCCACTGGGTCAGAGGATGTCACTGCCAGGTCACTGAGTCAGGGAATGTCACTATCAGGTCACTGGGTTAGGTGACATTGCTGGCATCACATTAAACCATTTCATATGAATGGTCTAATGTGCTTCCTATGAAATGGTCTAACCATTTTGCAGGAAGCACAAACCCTACGACCCGCGTTGCATAAATGCAGTGAAAATAAGATCTTTTCAATATAAATGTGACAGTTTTCAGGAGATGAAGATGTGCTATTTCTAACAATGTGAAGTTAGTTGGCATTGACACAACTCACTCTTATCCACATAGTTGGCTTAATACTGACTCAGACATACAAAATCAACAATGACCACTTCAACCTTCACTGCACAAGATTTGGCCCATTCCAGAAGTACCTCAGTAGCATGTCACATGTACTGGTGACATGTACATGTACTAGCATGCACAATAGTGTACAGTACACACATGTACTAGTGGCACTACTGTGGTGCAGTTTAATATAAACTATCTGATGCAATATCAAGCTGAGATCTAGAGGCTTTACTTTTGACAAGATGCCTCTTGTCATTTTTCAATAAATATGGAAAATGCCTGTCTGGCAAGAGCTTATGAAAAGGTGAGGTTGTTCTATAGGTCAGCAGTGGATGCATGCAGTGTAACTGTTAAAATGCTATCAAAGACCATACGGATAATGCCATTGATACATACAGCTGTGCAGAACATCACAATGAGAGGAAAAATCCATGCTAAAGAAAAGTTGGCTTTCAAAGGCCAACCAACTTTACAGAGTCCTGAGCAAGTCTGACATCAGACATTTCAGTTAAGCAACACATTCAAGAGCTTAGGCCATTTGGAATGAATACTGCCATGTAGAAACAAAGATCATGCCATAAAATATACAGGCATGTAAAAATCCTGGCTAGTGCAGAAGAAAAGCAACCAAAAAGTGGTAACAGAATGTATCTTTACCTGGTATGTTGTGCTTTGGATGCTATTCAAAACCAGGTCATGAAGCTGGTGAAATAGGAAAAGATCTGATGAAGTAGGACCAGAACCAGCAAGGCTCTGCATGCAAACCAGGAACCCAGTAGTTTGCTTGATTTTCTGGAACAGATAGCTGAATCAGACTAGCAGCATATTATATCATGTCCAAAGCATTCTGTGACTGCAAGGCTAAGCTTTTTCGCTTGACGGTTACTTATAGGTCGCTTATAAGGTTATGAAGGTATCGCTCTGTAGTTACTGATAAATGACTTATGACTTCTGGTACCACTGGCGTCGGTCTCGAATTTCCTAAAACCGCCTGAATTAACAAGTTCTAGTACCCAAGTAACACACTAATGGTACCAATAGATCCGCCGCATACTCATGAAGGGCTCTCAGTAAGCTTTTGTGGCACATAATGACAATAAAGAGGCATTTTCATCATGCCATCCGTCGCCCGCCCACCTCACCCCAACCAGCGCTCTACCACCCTTCCCCAACCCGCCCCAACCTCAGTTCCAGGGCTGTGTCCCCAATCAAGGCGCAAAGTCGCGTTGCGGCTGTGATTTGATTACGCGACGATCGTGAAGGTCGCTAACGCTTCCAGCTGATTGTATCATGACGTCACAAAGCCACAATATCACTACTAGCCTAATTATAGTCGCCAGTGCCTCCAAAAGCCTGAAAACAGCAATCTGGCGCTTCCAGATTCCTAAGGGTCCTCGGGTACTGGGGCGGTCCCAGGGGGGGGGGGAGGGGGGATATGGGGTCATGGCCCCCCTTGGACGCCGAAGGTGTCCCATAGGCTCCGAAGGGGCCCAAAGCGGGCTGAACACAACACGCAACAAAACTGGACATCTTTGGGCTTCCGGGCGTACAAGAACAGCCGCAAGCGAAAGTGGGAGGCAAAAATCACTATTCACTGATTGAGTGGGTCGTGGCTGGCATATTATGAAGTTCATTGCGCTGTCCGGAGACTCTATGTCGTTTCCGGGGACCTATATGCCAACTTGCAGGATCAATCCGGTCGTTAAAGAGCCTTCCAAACTGCACCTAATTTCTTTGCATTTGCTAGGAGGGCACTGGGCTGTTGCTGGGGCCCTTCTTGCCACCGTACCGTGGCGCTCTTGTCATTCAGGGCCTTCCACAGATTCTTCCGATTCGCCCGAAAGGCTCTGTACACCACAGCCGGAGGCCCCATATGTTAACCTGCCGGGATATTCTCGGTTGCTCAGGGGCCCATCACGTTCGCTACGGTTCACCTTCTGACACACTCGCGATATGCTCATGGGCCCTATATCTTGGTCTAGGGCCACTCCAATTCTCTGTCACTGGCTTAGAGCATTGCGTTCTTGTCGGGGGCCATCTGTTAACCTGCTTATGCGCACTTGGTCGTTCAGGGCCCTCCTAGCTGGGTCTTGGGTACTTTCTGAATGGGGTACTCTACCCAGTTGTCGGAGCCCCATTTCTAGTCTATTCTATTATGCTCCTATTCGGGCACACTGGATTATTTGGGGCCCCGCTTATTGTGATCGGGTACACTCGAGCTTTCAGAGGCCCTCCACACAGGGTCTTGGGTATTTCATATTTAAATGGAGGGCCTTACGCTCTTGTCGGAGCCTATATCTAATAGCCCCGCGAGGCACATTAGACCGTTTGAGGGGCCCTCTACAATGCGTCGTGGGTATTTCTTATTTGAATGGAGGACCCTTTTTGTTGGGGACCCCATCCGTTAACCTGCTTGGCCACTCTCGATCATTCGGAGGCCCTCCATGTTGTGTATTTGGTACTTCTCACTTGAATGGGTAGTTGTATGTTCTTAGCAGGGCCCCTTCTATTAAGCCCCTCAGACTGGTGGCGGGTACAGAGGGGGGAATGCACGGGACCATGCCGCCCTTGTACCACATAGGGACCCATAGGCTCCGAAAGGGCCCACGACCGGCCGAACGCACACAGTTTTCTAACACAGAACGGAACAAAACTGAACGTCTTTGGGCTGCTTACGACCAAGAACAATTGGGAGCAAAAGTAAAGAGCCCATAAGCAGACAAAGTTAATTATCCGCTGATTGAGCTGATGATTGGGAATTTGTTGGGCTCGTTACGCTGTCCAGAATCCTTACACTATTGCCGGGGCCCTATACACTCACATGTCGGGTGAAAGGGATCGCTAAGGAGCCCCCCACGTTGCCCTTGATATCTTTGCATTTTCTCGCAGGATCTTACGCTGCTGTTGGAAAACCATCTGCTTACATGCATGGGCACTCTTGATCGATTAGGTTTTCATCCACGGATTCTTCGCATTCGCCCGAAAGGCTTTATAAGTTTTTCCGAGGTCCCATTTGCCAGGATACACTTAGTTCCTCAGGAGACCTTCACATTGGTGTCGGGTTCTTTCCACATGTTCGGAGGGCCTTGTGCTGTTGGTGAGGCTCACACAAGGTAAGGTACCAAGCCACGCGATGCTCAAGGGCCCTCTTCTTTGAACTAAGGCTCTTTCACTTTGATCCCATTTGTGGAGGACCCTTCTCCCTGCCGCGTCCCTTGCTGTTAACCAGCCTGAGCACTCCTGATCGCTCAGGGACATAAGTTCGTTGCACTAGTGTTCGGTAATTTTTCTTTGCTCAGAGGTTGCTGTGCATGGCGGTCTGCCGGGGCACTACCGAACATGGCGGTCTGCCGGGGCACTACCGAACATGGCGGTCTGCCGGGGCACTACCGAACATGACGGTCTGCCGGGGCACTACCGAACATGGTGGTCTGCCGGGGCACTACCGAACATGGTGGTCTGCCGGGGCACTACCGAACATGGCGGTCTGCCGGGGCACTACCGATCCTTCAGGGGCCTACCACGTTGGTTCTGGGCTCTTCTCGCTTGCTCTGCGCACACTCTACTCGTTGAGGGAAGCCTCTATGTTGGCCTCCGGCCGGCACCCATGATTCCACACGATCCGCCCTCATTGGCCATGGTGCCTTAGCCTCAGAGCGGCAGTCGGCTGGGTGCCAGTGACTTCTTCGCGCAATTGTCGCAGGTTATTTTAAGTGCCGCAAACATCCAAGTGGCATTTCCATTAGTTATTTAATGTTCGACACGTACTCTACCCGTTCGTCACATTCTTCATACACCTGAATGCTAGGATATTTTGCACTCCTTTGTAACAAAAGGAAAAACTCTGCATTAGTCATCAGCCATCAGCTGATCACATCGACCTGTTGTCTAGCCGTAAATAAGCTAGGAACCAAGTTGGTATTTATTCTGATGGGATTTAGCAACCAGCTTTAGCAGATCTTGTCTGTTTTTCCGAAATACTTGGCCTAAAATGACAGGATTTTTCATGATCTATATGCCAACGTTTATATATATATATATATATATATATATATATATATATATATATATATATATATATATGCATGTGTTGTGTGTGTGTGTGTGTGTGTGTGTGGTGTGTGTGTGTGTGTGTGTGTGTGTGTGTGTGTGTGTGTGTGTGTGTGTGTGTGTGTGTGTGTGTGTGTGTGTGTGTGTGTGTGTGTGTGTGTGTGTGTGTGTGTGTGTGTGTGTGTGTGTGTGTGTGTGTGTGTGTGTGTGTGTGTGTGTGTGTGTGTGTGTGTGTGTGTGTGTGTGTGTGTGTGTGTGTGTGTGTGTGTGTGTGTGTGTGTGTGTGTGTGTGTGTGTGTGGTGTGTGTGTGTGTGTGTGTGTGTGTGTGTGTGTGTGTGTGTGTGTGTGTGTGTGTGTGTGTGTGTGTGTGTGTGTGTGTGTGTGTGTGTGTGTGTGACGTAACATACCATTTATCCTTAGATGTAGAAGCAGAAATGCGAAGAAGTTCATTACGCTGCCCAGATACCCAATGTCGTTTCCGGGGACCTACATGCCAACTTGCAGGGTCAATCCAATCGTTAAAGCACTTTCCAAACTGCGCCTACTTTCTTTTGAATTTACCAGGGGGCACTGGGCTGTTACTGGGGCGTCCAAAATTCTAGAGGGCCCCACAATGTTGCGTGCCCACCCCCACCCCCTTGACGAAATCCTGCATCCACCCCTGCACGGGAAGTCGCAAGTCGATTTCCTGTGTGCGGTTTGTCGCTTTCCGGTTGAGTGATTGGTACCTTTCAGTTCAGAACTAAGGAGCCAGACACGCACTCAGGTTCAGTTGAGGTATGTGATCATGGATCACTGTTTATGCACACTTTAATTCCCAATGATTACCCAACCGGAAAACCAAGTACATCCAGCATAGTCCCCACCTCTCACCGCCATACTGACCACTGACACGCTGCCCAGGCCGGGATCCCGTGCCTGGGTTTTGTCGAAGTCGGCTTTTCACCCGCTATATACCAAGGCCATGGATCACCTGCGTATATTGATATACAAGTCGATAGAGACCTTTTACCTGGAGACTTCTACGGCTATTTAGCTGCATCTTACTGCGTTAGAAAATTCCCTAGTTTGTTAAGGCCTCGGCGAACAGAACATGCTGTGGTGCTGCTGTCTTGGTATAGGTGGCAAATTCAAGGTTGTTGTGGTAGCAACGGTTGTTGGGTTGCACATGCCTGCGTACCTAATCATAATGCAAATTATGTATTATGCAATCACGACAAAATACTTAAACACGTATTTTGTATTTGCGAATGATGACGTCGCTACCGTACACACTGCGATTTATTCAGACATGCCCTCTGCTTGGCATTTACAGTCTATCTTTCTCGTATGGATGCCTTAAACACCTTATCATGTGACTCTTGGTGGTGACACGGCACGCAAATAAGTAGGCGGTGAGCACGGCGGCAAACCATTATAACGGCTACCGGCTGAAGCTGTCACGCTGAGTGTGTATAAAAGGTGTGCCAACAGCGATGATATCGCCTCGCGTTGTAGCCGCTTACTTTTACGGCACGCAGTCAAAGCGTCCCAAAGCGTCCCAAAGCGTCCCAAGCGTCCCACAGCGTCCCACAGCTGATCCAGCCCGATGTGCGGGATGCAAATACAAACTTACGCTGCCGGTATTCTGACCCGCCGGAGGCCTCCGCAAGTACAGTTTATTGGCAGTTTGTATGTTGTCCTGTGACCCCCAACACTGACCTCTGACCCGCCCAGCCGTTCTTCCAGCCCCGAGGCGGCCACATGATCGGTTTGCCGCCGACAGACTTAATGCACATTGGCCAACCTTACACGAGGGGAGGAGCAACAGGCCGTGATGTCCGTTCCGGGAGTGTGAAAGCGTGCCGAGTATCGACGTATCGACACGTTAAAAATATCGGCACTCCACTCCCATGCCTGGGTTCTCTCGCCCTTGGTCTCGCCGCGTTCTCCCGCGGCAAAACCAAGAGATCAAGAGAGACCAAGATCTTTCCCACATGCCCGCTCCATGCCCCCCCCCCCCCCCCTCCACGCGCTTACCTCTTCTTTTAACAGCACCACCAAGGCTGCCATTGACCATCACTTTTGTGCTTTTGTTACCAGATTATCGTTTCCGGTGCAGGTTATGAGCCCAGCGGTAGGCTCT